GCTTGTTTCGTTTTGCAGTTGACCTCCCAATCAAACATCGCCGTTGGAAGAGCGCAATCATACATTTACAGGTCAGGCTGGTGATGTTGCCAGCTGGCGCCGCTGCTGTATGAATCCATCCTAGTCGGCGCTCCTTCATTTTCACGAAACGCTACGCCGTTTGCCAACATGGGCCGCGCCATAATTATGCTTCGTTGACTGCGACGCAGGCCACGGTTCGAGACATTGAGAAATATGATCTTCAAGGTTGTGTACGTGAGAACGTCACGTTCCAAAGCCCCAGCTATCAACCCTCGGCATTTGAGGATAAGCGAATAAAAATAGAAAGCGGTTTTCTTACCAAGGGAAACGATGTCGTCACAAGAAACGAAGTGGATTGAATTGCGCGTTGCCTCGAGCCGCTTATTCTCGGCGACCCTCCAGGGCTCGTGGCAGATCTGACGCTCGCGTGTGGAGAGGGTCAATCCTCGCATCTTACCGCGGGTCTGTGAATATAGGCACATGCGTATTGCCGCGCCGCTGCAAAACCTGGGCATGCAGCGCACCGACCGAGCCGACCAAACTCGCAGCCAGATAGACTTCTAGATTCTAATAAACCCGCCACCTAGGTCCTTGGGCGTCACTCCACAGGAACAGCACTTGTTGAGGGACGATATCGATAAACCATCTCCACAGATGAAAAGCTTGAGTCGACTCAAGCACTTGCGATATGCGGAAATAGGAGGGTTGAAACAACGGTGTCGACTCAGGTGCTTGACATGTGGGTGGTGATCCATGGCCTGGTGAAACACGGCCTGGTGTGTACCTGCATCAAGGTTGGCCAACAAGCGAGCAGCCGAGAAGGGCAATAGGGCGAAGACGCTCTTTTGCTGGGCAAAGAACGCATAACGTGCATAGTAGCAGACCTTCCTCACATAATCGATGAGCGGCGGGGCAAAATAAGGATATGCGTTGATAAGGCCGTGGTCAGCAGGTTGCACCGCAATGGCGCGTGTCCTTGCATGGAGTGGGTATGTGACCGGTAAGCGAATGCGCAAGACACGCCGCAATCAAAAGGTGCGCGAGAAGTGGATGCAGAAGGTGAAAGTACCGGTCCTCCTGTGGACCGCGAATGGTTCCTCAGTAGGAGCGTGCCTGGGGCGTCGAGGTGGCTGTGCTAGCTACCCAGAAAGGCCTTTGCTGCCGAAATGCGTCTTTTTCCCGCTCGGAGGAACGACTCGTTCGTCGGTACGGAGAGCGTACACGGTATTTGCTCTGGTCCACAGTCGCGCGGACAGGTCGCACGATGATAGGGAGGGCAGTCCGTCGTCGTATTTACAGTGGTAGCGACACAGCATCTGGCGACCCCAGCGTGAGACATCTGAGAGGCGCACATCGGCGCCAGTCGGCTCCCAAATCATCAGCCTTCAACGGCCCCTGCGCGCAAGCTCTTGTCCGTATCTAGCTAAGTCAGGGGAAGGCGGCGCGGATCAGTCGTCCTTAGACGTTTCGGGACCAACAGGGGCGCTTCACCTCCCCACTGATCCCATCTTTCACCCAATAGTGCCCCGTCACTATCGACGCCGCCACGAATACGATATACCCCCCCGGTCCAGGCTCAACCGCCTCGTGTCCGAAAAGGCGACCAACAGCATGAGTTTAGACCAAGTTGAGCATGGACTAGGAATAGCATACCTCGATATATGACCCTGCCGCGTGCCCGCCCCTGCTACGGTTACGCCGCATCTCTGATTCCTCGTTCTTTGACGTCGAGGTTTCTACAGCATACGTTTTCTTTCCAGACCTTCTGGGCTTGATCCAAAGGTCGTTCCGCTCTTTAGCATCGGTTTTAATAGTTCTTCATTCTTCGGGTTCTTCGAGTCGGCTTCTTTCGAGACTCTTGGCCCATCCGGTCTTTCAACCAAACACAAAAAGCATCCACTACGTTCTTCACCATGGCCAACTTCAGCAAGCCCGCGAGCATGATGACTATGCTAGTCGCCCTTTTGTCCATTTTGCAGTTCACTGTCGCTTTCCAGCATGGCTCGCACCACCACGCCCACCCTGCTCGCCACGCAGACTCTGCCATTGAGGCTCACATCAACGAGATCGAGGGTGAGCTAACCAAGCGTCAGTCGCAGCAAGGGTTCATAACCATCACTGGTGTGTGCAGCTCCGGTACTGCATCCAACGGCCAGTGCAATGGCGGCAACACTGCTGCGCCCCGTCTCGAGCTCCGTACTTTGGCGCGCAACGCCGACCAGTGGAACTTGTACCTCCTGGGTATGGAGAGGTTCATGGCCAAGGACAAGAACGACAGGCTTTCGTACTACCAGGTTTCTGGTGTCCACGGTCGTCCTTTCCAAACCTGGAACAACTTCCCCACGCCTCTCATGAACCAGGCTGGTTTCTGCCCTCACGCGCAGGCTCTCTTCGGTTCCTGGCACAGGCCTTACCTTGCCATCTACGAGGTATGAAACTCGGATTGAACGCTCAAGCGTAGACTAACAGTTCGCAGCAAGCATGGTACCAGAGCGTCTTGGAAGTCATCGCTACTTTCCCATCCAACCAGCAGCAGCGATGGAGGAACGCCGCGGCCACTCTCCGTATGCCTTACTGGGATTGGGCCATGGACCCAGGACAAGGTGGCGCCACCGTTCCTACTCAGATGCGTGACCAGACTGTTACCGTGACCAAGCCTCAGGGAACTGTCACCATCAACAACCCCCTGTACAAGTACACCTTTGGCAACACGCTCCCATCTGAGATGGGTGGAGGCCCATGGAACAACTTCCCTGAGACGCTCCGTCGCCCGGTTGCTAACCCCACCCGCAGCAACAACAACGAAATGAACGCCCGCTTCAACGCTATGCGCGTCTCTCTTCGTGACCGTGTCTTTGCTTTGTTCTCCAGCAAGGCCAACTGGGGTGCTGCTAGCACTTCCGCTATCGGTGTCCGCACTGACCTGAGCGGCGGCGGTGTTGACAGCTTCGAATCCGTTCACGATGCCATCCACAACACTGCTGGTGGTGAGAGTGGAGGACACATGTACTACCTCGATGTCTCGGCTTTCGACCCCCTCTTCTGGCTCCACCACACCAATGTTGACCGTCTGCTCGCCATGTACCAGCTCATTACCCCCAACACCTACGTCTCCAACGGTAACGTCATGCGCCCCATGGCTCAGTGGAACCAGGGTGAGCCCAAGAACCAGTACACTCCTCTTAAGCCCTTCACCAAGGACTCTGCCGGTAACTACTTCACCTCCGTTGATGTTAAGGAGACCCGCACCCTTGGATACTACTACCCTGAGACCAGTGACCGTTCCTACCAACAGGTGGCTCGCGCCGTTACTCAGCTTTACGGCGCTGGTCAGAGGACACTTACCAAGCGTGGTGACGACGAGTCGGAGACTGGCCAGTACCTTGGACGTCCTATCAAGGAGGGTGATTACCACACTGTTCTTTCCGTTATCGCCGACAAGTACGCTCTCAAGGGATCTTACACTGTCCACTGCTTTGTTGGCAAGCCCGGCAACAACTCTACTTCGAACTCCACTGCGCCTTACCCAGTTGCAAACTCGACCGCTTCTGCTGTTGTTCCTATCAGCACTGGTACCTCTCCATACAGCAACAGCACCGCCGATGCCGACTACGACCCGTCTACCGACTACACTCAGGACCCCAACTACGTTGGTTCCTATGGTATTCTCGGTGGAATGATGCAAGGTGGTGGTAACGCTTCCCAGTCTGTCATGACTGAGGGTGCTCTCCCTCTTACTACCTGCCTCCAAGGAAAGGAAGCCGCTGGTGAGCTCGAGTCGCTCCGTCCCGAACACATTGAGTCCTACCTCAAGGAGAACCTCTACTACAAGGTTGTTGGTGTTGACGGTGAGCTTAACGCGGACGACATCCCCAACCTTCACATCAGCGTCAAGTGCAACAAGGCCAAGCCTGCTGCTTCTGACGATGAGCTTCCTGACCTGAGCGCTCCTTACGAGGTTCTCGAGAGCGTCACTGCTCACCTCCCTGCTGGAAAGCCCTTCAAGTACGTCCCCAGCGCGCTCGACATCCCTCTGCCAGACGGCGATGAGTACAACGAGCCTAGCAGCGACGGCTCGATGCCCCAGAGCCCCTCCAACGGTGTCTTCCCCTACCCATCCATGCCTTGGGAGGAGCAGGGCTACTGTGTCACCAAGCAGACCATCGAGTACGTTGACGAGTCTGGTAACTTCCTGTACTCTGAGATGTAAGGTGGTGAAGCCGTTGCGTAGAGAGAGAGTGTGATGGGGTCGTGAAAGAAGCATTTGAATGCTTGTGTATGAAGGATCTTTCTTGAATAATACCTTTCGAATGTACATTGGACACGAAAGTTTTTTTTCCTTACAAAATGTCAATTGATATCCAGCAAAGGCTCTTCCCTATCGTTTTTCGTAGAAATGTCATCGTCTCTTTGAAATGTCATCTGCAGCGTAGGCGTTATTGCAGCGCTTCGTAATCAAATCTGTCTCGAACACTTGCTGCTCCCTTTGTGCACTGATCTGCTACCCACTATTATGATGCGGTGAAGGTCGGTGATTATTGGACGTGCCCGGACGCCACTACTTGAACAGCTTCAGTGTCTATTCTGAAGCCAACATGTGCGACTCCAGCAGCGGTATGTCAGACACTATGTACAGATTACTCGGTTGTAGAGCTGATGGCGCTAGAGATTCGCTGGTACCAAAAGGCGCTAGTGGGGGTTTCGCTGATCTCGCTGGGCACGCACCGCGAGCACCACATCACGGCAGTATCTCTCATCCTGCTTGACCATTCCTAGGGCATCTCAGGCACCCACGCATTGTTCCGTAAGTCCTACACCAACGTCGTCACCATGTACCAAGTCTACAAGTTGTGCTTCACCAGCATGGCGCCTGAATCGCGCCGTCGCGAGGACATGCCGCTCCCAATGTGGGGTTCGATATGTCATTCTCGCAATACTAATTTCTCAGTAGATACAGCCCATAGGACAATCTGCCCACCATGCCCGCTATGCTAGATGACCCTACTGCGCCGGTCATATATAGGACTTCCGGCGACGTACCATATCCTCCGCCTGGTGGCCCGCTGCCAGTGGGCATTGCACCATATCAAGTAATCCTGCGCGACCGGGTGACAAGCGCAACGATAATCCCCTTCTCTGCGCCGAACCAAGTTCCCCTCACATTACTGGCATACCTATGCGATCAATTAGGACGCGAGATTGAGAAGGGCGATACCTATCCCATGGTTGAGCCGCTGACCCTCGAGGCGTTTGGTCCATACTGGTTCGGTGTCTTTGGTGCCATTATGCTGCTGGGTGAGATCCAGGATGGCCGAGAACTGCACGAGATGGCACGGAGAGGCTGCGACTGGGAGAGGGAATGTCTGGGTAGTTTCTATATCAAGCCCAACTACCCGGGACGGTCGAGCCATGTCTGCAACGGTGGGTTTCTGGTTACAGATGCGTCGCGAAACCGAGGTGTTGGTCGCTTGATGGGCGAGACATACCTAGACTGGGCACCAAAGCTTGTGAGACTCTTCACAGACGTTTAGGCAGCATGCGCTAACCTGCTCAGGGCTATACATACTCCGTCTTCAACCTCGTTTACGAAACCAACGTCGCTTCCTGTCGCATATGGGACGCCCTCGGATTCAAGCGCATCGGTCGTGTGAAGGGTTGTGGAAACCTCAAGTCATATCCTGGCGAGCTGGTCGATGCCATCATATACGGTCGGGATCTAGGCCAAGATGACGAGTTTGTGTCTGAGGAGCGCTTCGACAAGATTCGCTTCTATCTCAAGAACGGAAAGTACCCCAACGGTGCTGACCGAGCAGAGAAGAGCCGTCTCCGTAGTGCAGCTACTCATTACAAGCTTACGCCTGGTGAGGGCGACGAACCCGAGAAGCTGTGGCTGAAGGGTAAGGAGGTTATTGCAGACCCTAAGCAGCAGTATGAAATTGCTCGCGAGATCCATCACAAGCACCATGGGGGCATCAATAAGACTACTGCAGCGATTGCTGAACTCTACCATTGGGTTCGCATAAAGGAGACTGTTAGCCAGGTCATTCGTAACTGTCCAGAGTGCAGCGAGATGAACAAAGGCCTGTCAGCTATGCGCCAGGGTCAAAACCAAGCGCGTGCAGAGGCAAGATCAGGATCCAGTTTCCTTTCATCAAGCGCCACGCAGCCGAACCTGACACCTACCCCACCGAGCTTGTTCTCACCAACGCAACCACCGCCTCCGTCAGATTCTCCGAATAGCCAGTTACAACTCGAGGCCGCACAGCAGCAGGACACAATCTATCCGCAATACTCTCAAGACAATGGTTACGACTTGCCTGTTGATCCCGCACTGATGCAAGGCATGCAACCTGCTGCAAACCTAGCTGATCTCCCGCCATCACCTTTTCTCGCAGCTCAGGTTTCAAATCGTGCCGGCCACGCAGGTGAACTTGATCATCAACGCATGAGTCTCGATCCAGGTTTAGATGAGCGGGCACCTACTGCAGGGGAGGAGATGCGAAGAAGATTGAATCTTGTGAGTCAATACAAGTAAGCAGATGCAGCATGTGAATCTTCGAACATAGTGGTCTACGGCATGGATGACTAATGGATGCCTCCATATACTGGACCTCAAGAATCGACAGTCGATGTCGACCTGTCTATATTGATGGACGTGGTCGTAAGCCATGACGGCATGGTTAATCACACGAGGAAATGGAATGCTGCAAGAGCATAGCGGCATTTTTAGATAATGCAATAACACAGCAATGGAAGCTTGTGAGCACGAACCGTTCCTCTCAGTATGATTGCGGTGATACTCTTGGACTGTGATTTCTAGATACCTCTATGAGGAATGTTGCTAAACTAACGACTACGTACTGCTATCCATCTTTTCGAATGTTGACCCGTATACATATTTACCTTTCTCCTTGCATCACTCCCTACACGTTCCGGTCGTTTCCAAATCTTTCTTCTGTCCTATGATTCAACTCATCTCCAGCATCGACTCTCTCTCTTATCCGTTTGACACCTGTTTTCATTAAAGGCATATCCTCATGACATCTCTTGTCTTGACCTTAGCCTTCAAAGAGTCCCCACTCCTTCACCTTGAAGCTCTCCAATACCCTCTCTCTCACCGCTTTACTATCCTTCATCAATGGCGTCTCGTCACCTTGCTGCTCTGCTGGAGTGAACTCGCCCGGGTAGTGCGGAATGTTGATTGAGATCATAATCTTCAAAGGTACATTAGCAATGATGAAGTAGGTTTGTCAACAATGCTGAGTAAGAGGTGATCATACGGAGGTTTGGGTGAAAGGTATGCTACTTACATCGGTACCTTGCTCTTTGAGGCGAAGAAGAATGAGGTGAATATATGTGAACTCGGGAGTCTTCCGATTGGGGTGTGGGTTGGGTGTTGGTGGGGTTTGGATGAATGTCAATGTCAAGACTGAGTTGTTCCTACAATCTCAGTCAGCTATGTATATATACCAGGGCTTCTCATTTAATTGTGCCCTCGCTTTGGTCCTTTTTCTGAAGATGTCAGACACTACGTACGGCAACGATTTCATCGCAGCACGGTCTTGCGAGATGATCGTAGTCTGGTCGCCGGTATCTTCGACTAGATCGCCAAAATGATACTGCAAAGCTTCTTCATCATTGCTCTTTTCGACATACTCTAGTATCTCGACGACGATACTAGAATAGCCGTTGCTGTCGAGGTAGACTTCTTGGTGGTCAGGGATCTGGCGGATCTGCCTGTTGAGTTACATCGTTAGCATGAAAGCCCGGAGTCTGCCGTATCATTCTCGAGGGGGGTTGTGTATTGGACGGTTGTAAACATTGGGCGTGGGGTTGATGACGATGCAAAGGGAAGGCGCGGGATGTGGGGGCACGCAGGATAAGAGAAGAACTTACGATGCGTCGGCGAAGTTGGAGGGGAGATCGAGGGTTATTGCGCCACCGTAGAGAGGGGTGTTTGTGAATGCCATAGTGTACTCTGATGCTACAGAGAAGTGGCTGCTGTTTGTTGTACTATGTGCAGAACTTGGTGTGGTACTTATGTTGCGACTATGATGTTGGTGATGGCGAAGGCACGTAGGTAGCCACCAGGCAACATCAGGCAGCACCAAAATGGCTACCTGTGACATTCTTTACAGCAGCGAAACAGCACTGGAGCTTGATGAGTTTGCTATTAAGTATTTTGTTTGCAGAGCCGTTCTCTGACTGTACATGAATTTAATTCGAGGTTGCAGTTCTACAACATGGGCATATTACAGCTGCAAGAGAATATGTTTGATCTTGATAGCATTGCACAGTGGTCACGAACAAGATATGGTAGTATTTGTGAGAACTTGAGTGTTTCGACCTGAAATGTAGGGTATCGTTTGAGCTTTATGGCCCTTCTAAATGTTCCATATCCCAATTTTGAACGCCGTGCAATGCATGTTTCTTCTCCCAGACCTTATCATCCTCTTGAGTAGCTAGCGGTTTGTTGCCGTCTCAGCCAGCTCTAGATATGTGTTGGTCATTCTTTCCCCAGACCACCGTGTCTTGTGACCATCCACCAAAGAAGTCTAATTCCAGTTGACGAAGACGTACGTTGTCGCAGCAGTCAACCTGATGCTGCAACCTGGTCGACTTCCATCGGGGCTGTCGCAGCCGTGGTGCGCGTTCCGTTGTTGGTGGTAAGGCCAATCGCTGCCTCTGCTTCTTTCTGGGAGTATGGTTCTTCGCGAAGTTGCTTGACCCTAGAAACCCATCAGCGCCGTTCTCATAATCGCAAAGACGACATTCTTACCTCCGCTTGTGGACCTTGCCCTTTTGATGCGCAGCAAAGTTGCCGTCGCTCTCAAAAAACTTTGCGCACTCCTTGCAGTACCATTGCCCCAGGCCAGGCAAATCTTCTATGGGCTTCGCATCCTTGAATTCGGCAAGATGCTTCTCGTCGCGCAAGTCGGCGTGGATCTGGTCGAGGTCGCGCGTATGTCTACGTGTCTTCTTCTTGGAGTCTTGTCCGCGTATGGCAGGCATGGTGGGCAGTATCCGCGGCCGTCGGTTATCCGTGTGAAATCGTGATGGTCGGCTATAGAGAAAGTTGCAGTGTGGAGATGGGGTCCGTGCAGGGTCTGCAGGTCAAAAAGACTTGTGGAGCTAGGTCGAATCAGGCTGCGGTAGATGCTACTGTTGCTCCAGAACCCGAAATTTGCCATGTCTGCAGGCCTACATGCTGACTCGGCACACAATTGTTGGGTCGGAAAAGGGAGCGCAGACCTCCGGGGCGTTCTTGGGCAACTGTGCTATCGCAGAACGCCAATCACCTCCAAAAGGAATGAGCGCGGGGTCGGTGAACGGCTGGTGGCTATGACGTCTGGGTGATGTGAACACCCATAGCTCTCAAGCACCCGTCTCGACAGCCCCCAAGACGTGAAATACCAGCTGGGCCCCCGTCGCACACAAGACAATTGCACTCTCCATAATTGCGTCTCCATTACACCGCGCTTGCACGTGAAGCGGGCCAACGGGACTGCGCAGCCGACCTGTTTCTGGTTTCAGGCGCCGAGGTATTCCGCACGCAGCTGGGGCTAGACGAGCCAATCACACACCTCGTGATCCTCATTAGTTATCGCCCAACTTGAGCCAGCTTCTGACGTTCTTTTCCTCCGCTTCCTCCATCACTCTTCTCTCCACACCACCCTCCCCTAATCCTCACCATGCAGAAGTTCTCGAGGCTCGGCCGCCTGGGCCAGAGCCTTGCTTCGCGCAGGCAATTGGCCACCGTCAGCGATGCTCCCCTCTCTCGCAAGGTCGAGATGACCAACTGGGAGAAGGGCCACTACATCAACTACCAGAAGATGAACGAGAACCTCCAGATTGTTCGCGGCCGCTTGAACCGCCCGCTTACCTTTGCCGAGAAGATCCTCTACTCCCACTTGGACGACCCCCACGGTCAAGAGATTGAGCGCGGCTCCAGCTACCTCAAGCTCCGTCCCGACCGTGTAGCCTGCCAGGATGCCACTGCCCAGATGGCTATTCTTCAGTTCATGTCAGCTGGTCTGCCCTCCGTTGCCACTCCTACCACCGTCCACTGCGACCATCTTATCGAGGCCCAGGTTGGTGGTGAGAAGGATTTGGCGCGCGCCAACGAGATCAACAAGGAGGTTTACAACTTCTTGTCCACCTCTTGCGCAAAGTACAACATCGGTTTCTGGAAGCCCGGCTCTGGTATCATTCATCAGATCGTGCTTGAGAACTACGCTTTCCCTGGTGCTCTCCTCATCGGTACTGACTCGCACACTCCCAACGCTGGTGGTCTCGGTATGGCCGCCATTGGTGTTGGTGGTGCCGACGCTGTCGATGTCATGGCTGGTCTTCCCTGGGAACTGAAGGCTCCTAAGGTTATTGGTGTTAAGCTTACTGGCAAGCTCTCTGGCTGGACTGCTCCCAAGGGTATGTTCTTGAAATATTGGTTTTCGAAAGCGGGGCAATCACGCTAACACAGTCTATAGACATCATCCTCAAGGTCGCTGGTATCCTCACTGTTAAGGGTGGAACCGGTGCTATCGTCGAATACCACGGTCCCGGTACCGAGAGCCTGTCTTGCACTGGTATGGCTACCATCTGCAACATGGGTGCTGAGATTGGTGCCACCACCTCCGTCTTCCCCTTCAACGACCGCATGTACGACTACCTTGCCGCCACCAAGCGCCGCGACATTGGTGACTTCTCCCGCGAGTACGCTGCCCAGCTCCGTGAGGACGAGGGTGCCGAGTACGACGAGCTCATTGAGATCAACCTTGACGAGCTCGAGCCCCACATCAACGGTCCCTTCACTCCCGATCTAGCCACTCCTATTAGCAAGTTCAAGGAGGCTGTCAAGGCCAACAAGTGGCCTGAGGAGCTCAAGGTTGGTCTTATCGGTTCTTGCACCAACTCCTCTTACGAGGATATGACCCGCGCCGCCTCTATTGCTGAGGACGCCATGTCCCACGGCATCAAGGCCAAGTCTCTCTTCACTGTTACCCCTGGTTCCGAGCAGATTCGCGCCACCATCGAGCGTGATGGTCAGCTCAAGACTTTCGAGGAATTTGGCGGTATGGTCCTTGCTAACGCATGCGGTCCCTGCATTGGTGAGTTCTCCCTTCCCTAACGAGTCAGCCTGGAGTTATTCGCGGTCTTTTCTGTCGTCTCTCGACAGCTCAAGAGTGTCCGAGTACCTCCAGGCTGCTGCTTCATACTCAACTTCTCTCTTCCCTGACGAGGTAGCCTGGAGGTATTCATAGCTTTTCCTGCTTATCTCTCGATGACTTGGAATTCTTTGAATACCTCCAGGCTGCTGCCTCATACTCAACTTTTCGCTCTCCTGGCGAGGTAGCCTGGAGGTATTCGCGGCGTTCTCTGTTGTCTCTTGACAACTCAAAAGTCTTTGAATACCTCCAGCCAGCACTTTCAGATTAATGCACTTATAGGTCTCATGCTAACATCTCTGCCAGGTCAATGGGACAGAAAAGATGTAAAGAAGGGCGAGGCCAACTCGATCATCTCGTCTTACAACCGCAACTTCACTGGACGTAATGACGCCAACCCCGCCACCCACTCCTTCGTCACCTCTCCCGACCTTGTCGTGGCCATGACCATCGCAGGACGCTTGGACTTTAACCCGCTCAAAGACGAACTGACCGCGGCGGATGGTTCCAAGTTCAAGCTCAAGGAGCCTACTGGTCTCGGACTTCCTACCAACGGCTACGACCCCGGCCAGGACACTTACCAGGCTCCCCCTGAGGACCGCGCATCTGTCTCCGTCGCTGTCTCCCCTACCTCCGACCGTCTTCAGCTCCTCTCTCCCTTCTCGGCCTGGGATGGTAAGGATGCTAAGGACCTTCCCATCCTCATCAAGTGCCAAGGAAAGGTATTTTTGCCCAGCCTCCACGAAATACATAACACATACTGACTTATCTGCAGACCACCACCGACCACATCTCCATGGCTGGTCCCTGGTTGAAGTACCGTGGACACTTGGACAACATCTCCAACAACATGTTGATTGGTGCCATCAACGCTGAGAACGGCGAGGCCAACAAGGTCAAGAACGCTCTCAACGGCGAGTACGGTGCCGTCCCCGATGTTGCTCGTGACTACAAGAAGAACGGCGTCCCGTGGGTTGTCATTGGAGGTAAGAGAATTCTACTGCACCAATAAGTTGCATCTTGGCTGACGTTATTAGACTGGAACTACGGCGAGGGTTCTTCCCGTGAGCACGCTGCGCTCGAGCCCAGGCACTTGGGCGGCGCTGCCATCATCACTCGCTCTTTCGCCCGTATCCACGAGACCAACTTGAAGAAGCAGGGTATGCTTCCCCTCACCTTCTCCGACCCTGCCGACTACGACAAGATCGGCCCTAACGACCGTGTTGACTTGGCCTCCACTGAGCTCGCCCCTGGCAAGCCTTTGACCATGACTGTCCACCCCGCCGATGGCGGCAAGGAGTTCCAGATCCCGCTTTCCCACACTTTCAACGAGGGCCAGATCGAATGGTTCAAGAACGGCAGCGCTCTCAACACCATGGCCAAGAACGCTAAGCAGTAAATGCACATGATAGAGAACGGATGAGAACAATCACCACTGGGGATGTAAATACAGAAGGATGAATACCCCGCAGATGCTTCACGAATGGGGATGAGGAGATTCACGTCTGGGGTGGATCGAACAGATGATCAGACGGAGCTGGACACCCGTAAATGGGCGCAGTAGTGCAGCTTTCATGTCGGTCCATCGAGCTCAATGTGGTTGGGTTTGCTTGTATTTGTGATGGTTAGCATGCAATGTATGACTGGTTTTTCCTTGTTACCAATGGTACATGTTCTGACGTGATTGTGGATGATGGTTGAGGTGGCTATGGAGCTCGATTTCTCAAGTTTAACCCAAGACAAAAGGTATCGTAGGGGTATTCGGTGAAGTTCCTGGTATACTATCTAGCGACAGAAGATGATGCATACGTCCAGAGTATGTTCTGTTTCGTGGATATCGTCGTATACCTCAGATATCAAGTACCATTGTGTGCTCGGACCAAAGCACAGTAAAACGTGCGTCGCACTGAGAACGTGCGAGGTGGATCCCGGCGCCGTTCCCGCTAGTCGCCGGGACAACGGCCGATAACAAACATGCTTGGCCAATACTTCCAACGTCTAAGCATCCTTGTGCGAACAACATTCTTGGTACCAATCGCACGCACGACGGCTTGAATATCCTTACACATTATACTATTTTATACCAAATTTCGCGAATATGGCGCGTCTACGCAAACCGAGTCCGAACGAACCGACTATTTTCATGACACCGTCCGAGACGAGAACAAGCCGATCAAGTTCGCGGAAGGCCACACTTCGATACGCATCATCGCAAGAAGACGACACCTCCATATTGGTTCCCAAGACCTCGAGGCGCATAGCGCGGGATACTAGCATATCACAAGACACAGAGCATTCGTTTCGCATACCGAAGGCAGCGACGCCCAGGGATGCGCTTACCCCGCGAAAGCAACGTGTACTGCGACCGGTCGAGAGCAACAGTCGACTGCTCCGCAAGCTTAGCGATGAAAGTCTAGCAAGTCCGGAGAAGAAACAAAGAGAGCGAAGAGTACGTAGTGGGACAACAGACACAGATGTTGGAAAGAGGAATGGACTTCTGTATGCCAAAAGCCTGGCAAGAAGCGTGGTGAACAAGCAGGCGCAGAAGGGCAAGATAAATGTTGTAGGGGAGCAAGAAGCACAAGAGGCAGCTCAACGGTTACGCAACAGGGAACAGGAGGGTAGAGAGGAAACACTGAAAGACGAGACTGAGGAAGAGGAAGAGACAAGTCTGTGGTGTGGCGATGAGGAAGCCGCGACACAAGACGAGGCTGCCGAGCCAGTGGCAGATATTAGCGAGGAAGACGAAGATGATGAGCCTGTTGTAAAGTCAAGAAAGAATCAGCGACAACCGCGCGCACGATGTATAGTGTCCGACAGCGAGGAGGATGAGAGTGAGCTGAGCGCACCAGAGCCTCTCAAGCAGTCTCAACAACCGATGTTCAAGATTCCCGATCTCAAGCCAGTAAAAACGTCTCCTCAACCTTCAGCCGATCTGAATTCCATGCGACCGCCAAATACAAAGGGCCATAGTTCGATGTCAAATTGGGCACAAGAGGTTGTCGATCTCACAGATTCACCAGAGGCTCCGGCATCTTTTGCACTCCCTGAACGCACTCATGTACGATCGAGTTCCTTCGCAGCTTCCTCTCGTCCTACCAGCTCAGCGTCAAATGGCCCCCTTCCAATTCTGACATACTCTCCAACACCTACTAAACAACGCTCGCCCTGCAAAGCTCCACCCATCTCACGACCAGCGACACCTCCACTAGCTCCTCCCAGCCCAACTAAACTTGTCTCGCCTTCGAAAAGGAAGCCGACCATTCCCAAGGCCAATGATATAGATGGAAGACCAAGTCTTGACGCATTCTGGAATCCTGCAGCTGTGAATGAGTGGACCGACCGTCACTCACCAGCCAAAACGCTCGTGTCGCCTAAGAAGCAAAAATGGCGGGAAGACATCGTCAAGATGATGGAAGGTGTGGCTCTTGAAGACAGCAGTGATGAGGGTTACGAAATCCCCATAGAGAGCCCCAAAAAGAAGCCTACAGATCGCAAACCAGCCAAAGGGAGACTGCCAGAGATTCAACCAGCCTCGAATGTCAAGCAAATCCGCGAACAACGCAAAACCTTCGCTGAACGCAAGCACGCCATAGCTGAAGCTTTCCTCGTCGAGCTCGACACCACTATCTCCTCAGGCCGTATCCACGAGCTCTCGAAGCCTACAGGCGGCATCAAGCTCGTCTGGTCCAAGACACTCAAAACAACAGCCGGTCGCGCAAATTGGCGTAGAGAGCAGATACGAATCCGAACCGGGACCCTCCCCACAGATACGCGCGTAGAGATACGACACCACTGCTCCATTGAACTCGCTGAGAAAGTCATCGACGATGAGGAGAGACTCTACAACGTACTCGCGCACGAGTTCTGTCATTTGACGACATTCATGATCAGCGAAGTACGTAATAACCCCCACGGAGCAGAGTTCAAATCTTGGGGCCGCAAAGCTACTGTCGCCTTCGCCAACAAGGGCGTTGAAGTCACCACCAAACACTCGTACCAAATAGACTACAAGTACGTTTGGGAATGTATATCTTGCGGTTACGAGTTCAAGCGTCACTCCAAATCGGTCGATCCAGCCCGCCACTCTTGCGGCAAGTGCAAGGGAAAGCTCGCGCAGACCAAACCCACACCCAGAGTCGGAGCCGGTGTTACTGTAGGCAAAGATGGTAAGAGGGAAAAGAGTGAATACCAGGTTTTCGTCAAAGCCAACTTTGCACGTGTGAAAAAGGAGCTGGAAGCCGAGGGCAAGGACGCCCAGATGGGAAAGGTGATGGAGGCCGTGGCTAAGGAGTACAGGGAGAGGAAAAGCACCAGCGGTGGTAAGGGGAAGGAGATCATTGATCTAGAGGCCGCGCTGGATGGCATGAAGATTTAAATGTGAGATTAGATGAACGAAGTGCTCGTATATTCCCAATCTTGCAGGGTCTACCTGATGACACTCCCAGGTGAGCAGCCATACTATACGCATGCCGTCAGCTGGGAGTGACGTATTGAAGTCAGCTAGAAAACGCGACGCGACGCGACTCTAGCGCGACTACCCTGGTCAACGCGCCATCCAAATCCCCATCCCCACTTTGCCATCACGTGAACCCTTCGTTGTCACCGTCAGCATCGTTAGCTTGCACACGCTGTGGATTTTACAAACACTGTGATCGGAGACAGCCATAACCCTCTAGCACTATGGCGTATCTCCGTGCCAATACAGTGCCATATCCTCCCCTCCCCGAGCCACCAGAGGGCCCAGCACCCTCAGCGCTCGAACTACCGCCTAGTGGTGCCTACCTCGACATATTTCGAAGCCTCCTAGAACCCGCATCTGTCCTGCAAAAACATGGCTATCGATTCCAACACCTGACAGACGCGGAAATTCATGAGAAACGAAGATGCAGTAACTGCAACCAAAGTAGGGAGAAGCATTAGCATTCGGAATGTGCACGTGGATCTCTACAGCGTTTCTAACTCTCTTGTAGCTATACAACAGCTCACAAAGGGTCTCAAAAAAACTTCGCTCGACCGTGACCAACAAACAACTTCAGCGGATATGCATGTCAGGACATGGCCTACAATGCTCATATATTATGAGGATGGTCAAACCGACGTTCAGCCCTCCACAGTACCATGCCGTTACCACTCAGCAGCAGTTGACCGCACCACGAAGGTGAATCCAACACGACACTTGCTTTGAGCTACGGAACTAAATTCATTAGTGCTGGATGTGTTGTGGAGAGCCCGTTTCTAAAGCTACGCCATGCAACGGTACCAGTGTTCACAAGATGCGCGAATACCGACCAGGTGAGCTCGATCGCTTGCATCAAATCCATGAAACTCCTCGTTCTCATCCGGACCGTGCTACTTCCGTCAAATTTGCCGTCGCAATCGACTGCGAGATGGGCACAGCTAGAAACGGAGATTCCGAGCTTATTCGTTTAAGCGCCATCGATTATTTGACCGGCGAAGTGCTGATTAACAACCTGGTGAAGCCGGATCAGCCAATGCTGCATCTCAATACCAAGTGGTCGGGTGTCACTTGGGATCAAATGAATGAGGCTGTGAGAAAGAAGACCACGCTGAAGGGGAAGTCTGGGGCAAGAAGACTGCTGTGGAAATTCGTAGGGCCTGACACAGTCCTCGTAGGACATAGTGTTCACAACGATCTGAAGGCATTGAAGTTGATTCACCCACGGGTGGTAGACTCCTACGTGGTAGAGCATAAAATCATCGAGGAGAAGAAGGCAATCGAAGCGCGAGAAAAGAAAGCGAGTGAAGCAGCGGCGAGAAGAATAGAGGAATTCCTTCCAGAGATCGCAGGGCTAGCTGATGGTCATGAGTCTTCCCTGACGACCAACAGCCAGATGGTAGGGAACTCAACTACCGCCACTGATGGTGTACCCAAAAAGAAAAAGGCCAAGGGTACAGGCGACTTAGCTTTGAAGACATTGCTGAAGAAGTATCTCGCCACTGATATCCAGACCAAAGGCAACAAAGGCCACGATAGCTTGGAAGATGCGACTGCGGCGAGAGACTTGGTTCATTGGATGGTCAGTAATGTCCCGCTACGAACTGTATGTAAGACAAACCCTGACTTCCAACTCTCATATTTAGGTTATGCGCATACTACAGGAGAGGGACGATAGAATGATTTAGCTAAGATGGCTGTATAAGTCTAGTGTAGTGCTGTGAAGCCCTTCGGCTTCAAGTTGGGTTTGCTCGATCATCAAATTCTGGACTAATGTATACATCGGATTTATTTCTCTACTTACTACTTACCACTCTCAGTAGCTCACTTGGTCTCTTGACTTCTCTGTCGACACATCATACTACTTTAGGAAGCCCCTCACTATTCTCATCCTTATCTCAACATCTTCCAGCAATCCCCGATAGTCTTCCGGACCATAGCTACTCACGCACTCCCTTACGCCTCCACCCTTACGACGCTCTTGCAAACCCATGTCTTTTAATAACGTGTCGAAGTAGGGCAGAGTATCAAAGACAAGGTCAGGCAATGTATGCCCATAGCTCATTGCGCCCCTTAGTACACAGTATTGTGTATTACGGTATGTCTCTTCAAGTGTCTGGGTGGGCGAGGAGGGAATAGACAGGGTACCGTCAAGGTAGGCGGTGATCCAGAGACTTTGAATGTACGCGTTGGGGAAAGTGCCGAGACAATGCACTGCGCCTGCGAAGGCGATGTTGCGATTTGCTATGGCTTTCGGAGGTACCATAAAGCGGTGCAGGCGGTAAGGCTGCGTATCTGTAGTTGGCTGTTGGGCATGGCGAAGGGAGTGGTTGGGGTGGTAGACGCGACTTGTGTCCCTCTCTTTGAGGTAAGGGAATTTGGTGTATAGAGTCTCTTCTGACCGCTGTATGAGAGCTTCTTCTTCGGGTGTAGGTGGTAATGTCGTTGGCAAGCCCAGCTCTTTCTCCAGCTCTCTAGGTTCGAAACGAAACGTGTATCCCTTCTGCCATCCTGTCGCGCATACGACTGCGTCCGTCTCCAACACCTGTCCCGACTTCAGTATAACCTGTTGTTCCCCATACAGACTGGCAATATCGTCTATGATGACCTTGATCTTCCCTTCTTTAACCATCTCAAAGAAGCTGTTTGGATAGTTATGAATTGACAGTGCATTGCCAACTTCAAAAGCGCCTCTCCACGGCCGTAACTTCTTTGTCTCAGGATGCTTATCCATCCCATTCAGCGCGATAGCGTCTTCCCCAAGTATGTTCCAGAAAGCACCCACTGCAGTGGTGAAGACACCAAATTAGCGTTGTTCTCAAATGCATTCCAAACAATCACAACTTACCTAATTTTCTTCCGAGCCACGTGCGATGGAAGAAGGAGCGTAACCAGCCTTCAATGTCCGTCGTCGGTGCCCACGGGCAAGGAGACATGAAGCCAAAGAAGCGTGTATGAACTAATTTCTCTAGCCACAAACCCAAAGGCGTGACGTGACTAGGTGTCATCCATACAGGACCGTTACCGTCGGGACGTATAAGTAAGGTTGCTGTCGCTGAAGGCTGGCTAGCGCATGCGTATGCAACGTCCCATGCAGACTTTCCAGATCCTACAATGACGGTATGTTTTCCCGGCTCCGCGATGACCGAGTGATGTTCCGGGAAGTCTGCAGTATGGATCACCAAAGGTTGAAACTTTGTCGACGTTTCATAATGCGGTAGTAGCGGCTTGTTCGTAGTGCCTACCGCGATAACCAGTTTCTTCGCCTTGATCTCAACACCCTTCTTCTCTAGCATAGTCGATGCACAACGCAGCACCCAACCGCCCCCATCTTTATCCTTCTCGATGACATCAATAGTCGTTTGGCCCCTGAAGAACTTCTCTATGTCGGCCCATTTCGTGAATGCACAAAGGTAGTCGAACATCTTCGCGGCAGGTATATGCTCTCCCCTTTTCACCATAAACCTCTTCTCTTCCATAGGGAAGTCAGGATGTTCGTACATGCCCCACAAATTGTTAGTCCGAAGACCCGGAAAAACGCGATGCGGTGCCCATGGCCCGCCGATGCACGAGGCAGAGTCGAGGATAAGGATTGTGGCTGTGGGGTGTAGGCGGTGGTATGTGTGAGCAGTGGTGAGACCGTAAATACCGGCGCCTACGATTACAAGGTCTGCTTCTTCCATTTGGGAACGTGGGGTACCTCTCAGGTACTAGAGGATGTTGTGACACTATTGTTTCTGGTCACACTGACGGAGGTCCATAGGTGACGAGCACAAGGAAACCGTGGCAGGTAAAGCAGATTCTACTTATCCTATCGGTTCCTGCAACTTGAGCTACGACAGGGATGGCGGGAGGCCCTATGATTTTGATTAGGGAAAACAAGCGAGGCCTGTACCACCCATGCCATCGTTCCAGCAAGGACTACTAGCCGTTCACTTGTGAAGTTGTCGCTAAGTTCGATGAGTTTTCCAAGACATGAGAGCTAGTTGCTCACATGTAAAGCCGTGGCTCGCAAGGCGTCCGTGATCTTCAACGGTTATCAGTTCTCATTTACACATAAATCACAAGGCAAGATAAAGTGCGACAAGTGCGGAACAGTCCAGCGGAATTCATGGAATCAGAAACGACACTACCCATCAGCATCATAGCTTTGCCTTCACAGAGCCTACACCAGCCTTGACCTGTACAGCACCTGATGCATCAGTATCGATAACGACTACAACACCCTCCGAAGCGGTTTCATCCGACTTCAGTACTATCTCCTGACAGTCTTCATTGCCAACTTCGTTCGCAAATTGTACAACCACAAAGTCAATTGGTCGGTCTCCGACTACGATCATCGGCGCATGCCATGTCCCAGCCCCATATGTCACTGCTTGACTTCCATTTGCCACGAAGGCACGGAGATTCTTGAGGTCTGGCAAGCCCGGACCCTTTGGACGTGCTGACGGATGAAGTCGTGAGAACTGGCTCTGAGAAGGCGCGGTTTCGTTTGAATATGGGCTTGGTCTCGCTCGCGCAAAGATGTCCATAACGCTTCGTTTCCGTTCAATGTGCGGTGTAGGATATGGCGGCGCCCTACCCGTACGACGCCTTGAAGCACTTGCCGGTAGAGTAGGAGCAACTATGACAAGGTACTGGGTGTGTCTTTCCTGCTGCGACAGGCCCATGGGTATAAACGTTTGTGTGGTGAAGGGATGCCTTTCGAGAATGGCAACGTCCAACAGCTGCCTTTGGAAGTCTTCGCATCCTTCCTCGTCCTCATCCAAGTCCAAGTCACCCCAGGAGCTGGGCATGCTCATGCTCGGCTCGTGTGGCCGGAGGTTCCGTGGGGAACAGACAAACATGTTCATCACCGCCTTGGCAGGTTTCTTGCTCGGCGCAAGGTCATACAGGTTCGACATGTGCGTGACATCGAGGTACTTGGTAGCCGAGCCCTGGTTGGCCGCGACCGCGTCGGGTGGTGGTATGCGGTTGGGGATGGGCAGCTGCGCTGACGGTGATGTTGTTGGGTTCTCGATGACAGTACCGAATTGCGAGAAGGCAGTTGGAGTCAGAAGCTCCATTGGTATTCGAATCGAGGGAGCGGGCATCGAGGTCGGCATCTCTGCGGCACGACGTCCAAGGAGACGTGGACGGAAGCTACGATGGATCTGTGGAGTTGAGATGGAGCTCGGGAGCTTGCGAAGCGCTACTGATGCGATAACGATAAGACATGGTATGCTGGCGCATCAGCACAACTCACTTTTGCGCAACGCCCGTGGGGACTATGCTGTTGATCTTGCATATCGATGTGTGTGAGCGGCAGAAACTAAAACCAGGCAATGTCCATCCTTGGTGCTATCAAACTGCGGTTGGTGTTACTTATTCGAAGTTACTGGCCAGGTAAAGCTGGTTGCAGATCATTGAATCTCGAATCCTTCTGTGCAGGCGGCATAAGATCGGTCTAGATTGCAGTGACGTCGATACAGTCAGAAGGAAAGCCTGTGGAAAGAAAAAAAAGACTTCGCAGATTGATGACCCTACGCAGCTCCAGTCCATTCTGCTGTTCGGCCATTGTCCATGAGCTGGCGAGGCTGATGTCACAGTCAGCCAACGCCAGCGGCCCGCATTTTCCCCGAGCACTAGCGCGCGTGCCCACGGTTTTCTTTCTCGACTCCATGTTTCCATCGCCCTACGCTCGTCACACGGTCACCCTTCAATTCTCTGACGCGTGTTCCTCCTTCTCTCCCACGATCCACCCGTTGCCGCTGCGTGCGCCCAAAGTCTGCCCTTGGCCTATAAAGTCACAGAAACTACGTCACACTCGAACCCATACCCACACACCCGACGTGTTCCTGTCTTAGCCTTACTCATCGCCAACCCACAAAACCGAGCTCAGCAGTTGAGCCAGACTTCGCGACCACCAGCACCTTGCCCCACGCCCACTTGTACAACTTCCTGTGACTTTGACTAGTTATCATGGCTGTTCCCACACAGTTGGCTTGTACGCTCGCCCTGTACCATCGCTCCTGTTGAAGCACGCTAACAATATTCACAGACCGTTCCGCCAAGGGCATCGGGCTCTTCAACGCTGCCCCAGTGTATGAGGCTCTCCCTGGATTCGTCCGGTGAGTGCTTCCGTTGTGCCACGAGCTCTTGCGCAGCTCCTACTCCAGTGCCGACGCTAACTCGCCTAATAGACCTGAAGGCAACCTTCGCTGCTGCTGCTACTCGCCTGACAGCAAGTACTTCGCATGGGCAACACCAGAACAGGTTTCGGTGATTGATGCCTCGGTCGGCCACGTCATTACCACACTTCCTACACCGAACGTCTACGAGCTCGGATTCTCCCCCCTCGGTACATACCTCATTACATGGCAGCGCCCATCCAAGGACGAAGACGGAAACGCTGTGAAGAACCTCAGAGTCTGGAAGACGCTGTCCGACGAAGCTGAAGATGACGGATCGCGGGCGGTCATCGGCGAATACGTCCAGAAGAACCAGAGTGGCTGGAACCTGCAGTACACGTCCGACGAGAAGTATTGTGCGCGCGTTGTAACAAACGAGGTGCAATTTTTCCAGTCGAGCGATTTGCGCAACCCTTGGAACAAGCTTCGTGTCGAGGGAGTCACCGATATGATGCTCGCTCCAGGCAAGAACCATTCAGTTGCCGTTTTTGTACCGGAGCGCAAGGGCATGCCTGCTGCTGTCAAGGTCTTCCAAGTACCTCAATTTACCCAGCCTGTATCCCAAAAGACTTTCTTCAAGGGCGACAAGGTCCAGCTCAAGTGGAACGATCTCGGCACCAGCTTGATTGTCCTAGCGCAGACAGAGGTCGACAAGTCGAACAAGAGTTACTACGGCGAAACCAACATGTACATCCTTAGTGCCAACGGCACCTTCGATTCGCGCATTCAGCTAGACAAGGAGGGTCCTATTCACGACGTCTCCTGGTCGCCTAACTCGAAGGAGTTCGGTGTCACTTATGGCTACATGCCTGCAAAGACTACCATCTTCAACCAGCGCGCAGTGGCACAACACAGCTTCGACCTAGGCCCGCGCAACACTATTCTTTTCAGCCCACACGGACGTTTCGTCATCGTTGCCGGGTTTGGCAATCTAGCTGGAGATATGGACATTTACGATCTGGAGAAGAACTTCGCCAAGGTCTGCCATGTAAAGACCTCAAACTCGACCTATTGCGAGTGGAGCCCCGATGGGCAACATATTCTTACTGCAACCACTAGCCCGCGTCTTCGTGTTGACAACGGAATTCGCATCTACCACGTCAGCGGTGGCCTCATGTACAACGAAGACATGGCTGAACTCTACCACGTCGTTTGGCGACCTCAGCCGACCTCGATGCACCCCCTAACTGACCCTTTGACTACCATCCCGACGCCGCATTCGTCCGCACTCGCCTATCTGAGCACCCAAAAGACACCATCAAAGCCTGCAGGTGCCTACCGCCCTCCCGGAGCGCGCGGGACTGCTACTCCCCTACACTTCAAGCGTGAAGACGAAGGAGGCGCTGCCTACTCCAACACCGGTATCTCTTCGACGAATGTTGGCTTCGCCAACGGGTTCGGCAAGCCGCGTCGGCGTGAGGTACCTGGAGCAGAGGCTGCAGATACTCTTCCACCCGGTGCTGCCCCCGGTGGTGGTGTCAGCCTTACTGGCGCCCAGGATGGCGATGGAGAGCTTTCCAAGGCAGCCTTGAAAAACAAGAAGAAGCGAGAGGCTAAGAAGGCTCGCGAAGCCGCCGACAAGGCTGCTGGACTCGCGGCCGACGGCGTCAACTCAGCTAACGGAGCTGGACGTAGCCCGGAACGTCGCCAGCGTAGCCGCAGCAAGAGCGGATACGAGCAGCAGGGACGAAGTGCCAGCCAGCACCGCAACTTCGGTAACAGCCCAAACCGTCAGGCTCGTCAAGACGGAGGTCAGCGCCAGAACCCTGCCCAGCAACGTCAGCAGGCTCCAGTGCAGACGCAGGCTCCTCCTCCGATTCAAACAGAGAGTCAGGGTCCTCCCCCTGACCTCACTGTCACCAGCCCTGGTGACGGCAACCCCCAGGATAAGAAGATCAGAGGTTTGCTGAAGAAGATGCGCGCCATTGATGAGCTGAAGATGCGTCAGGCCGGTGGAGAGAAGCTAGAGGATACTCAGGTCAAGAAGATCAGCACCGAGAAGCAGATCAAGAAGGAACTAGATGCCTTGGGCTACAGCGGCTAGGAAGTACTTCAACGTCCCATCAATCACTTTAAGCCTGATCATCTCAGCTTGTCGTACATTATATAAGATGCATAATCAAGTCATGTATTTCGTTTTGCATTCAATTCATGGTCTCGTGATCAAGCTTATGGCCTCACGTGGTAGTACCCCGGTGTCCAACGCTCCCTGAGAGATCGACCAGCACTTTAATCATGCTGCTCCTAGTGCGAGGCATGCCCGCCCTGTGTGCCCAACTCGGAAGCAAGTTCACTGCCCTTCTTGAATGTACCGTCGGGGTTGCGCTGCAAGTAACAGGTTAGTTACGGATTCATCAACTGATCCTGAAAACAACTTACTCCGCTGTCATTGCTCGATGTCTCAGCACCGGATTGGTTGGATCCGTGCGAAGCATGTCCGCCTTGCGCGCCAAGCTGCAAAGGTGAGAGTATCAAGTCAGTGTATGTGTTACATCCATTTCGTATGGTCACAACGAACTTTACTAGCGACCTCAGAGCCCTTGGTGAAGGTGCCGTCTGGGTTGCGGCCCGCCTCACTGCTGTTCGAGGTAGTGTCTGCAGCGCCATGGGAAGCATGACCACCCTGTGCACCCAACTCGGAAGCAAGCTCACTGCCCTTCTTAAAGGTACCGTCAGGATTACGGTCAGCATTGTCGCTGCCGCCAGTAGAAGTAGACTTGACAAAAGTCAGTTTCTGTACACGAGTGTGCATGTGCTTGGTTCAGCTTACGTCGTTGTTGGCAGAGCCGTGAGAAGCATGACCGCCCTTGGCGGCGATCTCTTTCAGCTCATCTTTTGGCAAGTTCGCAAAGTTGGAAGGATTGGAAGAAGCCATTGTTGAGGTTGTGATCGCCTAGTGTTTATTTGAAGCGAGGAGTTTTACTTGTTGTGAAGACGGGTAACAAATGGGTATGGAGTGATGAAGATGGAGAAATACAAAGCACGTCTGTTTGTATCGCTCTTTTTGTACGCGCTCCTGTTTGCATCCCTAGGCAACACCACGTCACAAATGCGGGCAGCAAACCTGCATAAGGCTACAGTGTCCACCTCCAGGCATGTCGGCGCAGATCAAACATCCGCGCACATCTGATTTGCCAGAAAAACGGTCATCGTGATGGGCAAGCCACTGTAGCCTGCTTGTATCCTTGTGCGGTGCTGAGGATTGTGTCAGGACGAGCTGTGATGTCATTTCACGTGGTCAGACGCGTCGCGCGTACTCACGTGTTCTTGAAACACGCGGCGGCCAATCAGGGGGTTCGGTGGAAATGACTAGCTGTCTTCGACGTCACGTTTGACGCGAATGTCTGAGGCTGGGAGTGGCCCTGTAAATGGCCGCGATACTGACACGACTATTCGATTTCCCTACCATTATCGTCGCTACTCCGCCCTTCCCCTCTGAGCACATACTCCACATCGGTTGACATTACAATTATGAGTCTAAAGCGTAAAGCGGCGGCTGCGGCTACCGACGCGTCCAAGAAGCCTAAGCAGAATGGCAGCATCACCGCCTTCTTCGGCGCGCCAAAACCCAACCCCAACGCGCCAGCCAAACAGAGCGCTGCAGCAGCAAAGTTCGACAAAGACGCATGGGTCGCCAAACTCACAGACGAACAGAAAGAGCTGCTGCAACTTGAGCTAGACACACTACATGAGAGCTGGCTGCCGCACGTCAAGGATGTGCTACTTACTCCTCAATTTCTCGAGTTGAAGAGGTTCTTGAAGAAAGAGCTGAATAGCGGAAAGACGGTATACCCGCCGATGCAGGATGTCTACTCATGGTGCGATCTCCCACATCTTCTAATTGAAGCTTCCCCAATTGGAGAGGAGACTAATCGTCAATAGGTCGCGGCATACACCCCTCAATACCGTCAAAGTCGTCATCACAGGTCAAGACCCATACCACGGTCCTAATCAAGCCCACGGCCTCTGCTTCTCCATCCGCCCACCGAACCCTGCGCCCCCGTCGCTTCAGAACATCTACAAAGCCCTGAAGAAAGAGTACCCAGACTACCAGCCACCGCCAAACAGAGGCGGTCTTCTAACGCCATGGGCTGATCGTGGTGTTTTGCTCATCAACACTTGTCTCACTGTCCGTCGTGGCGAGGCAAATTCACACTCAGGCAAAGGCTGGGAGCTTCTCATGCAAAAGGTCATCGACACTGTTGCAAAGGTACGGACAAACGGTGTTGTATTTTTGGCTTGGGGCTCGCCGGCCCAACAGAGGACCAAGGGTATTCCGGTCGATAAGCACCTCGTGTTGAAAAGTGTACATCCAAGCCCGCTGAGTGCCGCGAGGGGTTTTGTAAGTTCTGCGATCCGCCTTGGTGCAGCTAAGATACTAACAAGATGCAGTTCGATGCCGGTCATTTCAGGAAGTGCAATGCATGGTTAGAGCAACGCTATGGCAAAGATGGCGGCATTGACTGGGACCTGAATGTTGATGCCGAAAAGGCCAAAGTTGATGCCCCAAAAACCAGCGTCGATACCGAAAAGACCAACGTCGATACTGAGAAGACCAGCGTTGAGGCCGAGAAGACTAGTGATGATGCCGAGAAGACTGGTGTCGATGCTGAAAAGACCGAGCTATAGCTGTTTGGGTTTTGTGTTCGAGCTTCTCGGAATCTTGGGGTTGGCGTACGGCGTTGCTTATAACCTCTGCTTTGAAGTTTTTATCCAGAGTTGGGCAACCAAAGAGCAGATGTAGGAATGTGACTAAACTCACTGTAAAGACGACAACCATTTCGGAGCATGATTTCAATTTTAATACCCTCACCTCAGCCTTCTGTTCTCCCTGAAACCCAGAACATACCTCTCTTCACCTGTCCCACGAACCAACTGTCCTCGTACGCTTCATCGAAATGCCCTAGCGCCGTAAAGAACACTCTTCCGCCTTCGATTTCCTGACACCACTAAACGTAGGTGTACTAAGTCAGTATGCGTCTCACACGCAGTTCGTACAGGGGCATTGCTTACAGCTAAGGGGTGGTCAGCTCCATGCTTCCCCCCGCTAAACGTTTCCGGATCTCCCCTCAGTAAGATCTGCAGGTTCTTGTTCTCCCTAGGATGCGTGTGGAAGTTATACCATTCGTCCTTCCAGCCCTCGCGCCCACCACAGCATCTCATGATCTGATGTTCCTGAGAAGCCTTTTCAGGAAGGATAGTGCCGGCTTCAGGATCAGGATGCATATCGAAACTCGCACCGATCAAGTTCGTATAGCATTCGTTTCCTTGCATAGCTGCGGCCGCACCGTGGATAGCCACGATACCGCCCCCATTTTGCACCCAGATCTTCAATGCATCCAGTTCTGGGAGAGTGAAGATCTCGTCACCAATGTTTTGAAGGAGGACGACGACGTGGTATTGAGTTAGCGAGGACGACGTAAACAACGAGGCATCTTCACTAGCTGTGACATTGAAGAATTCTGCATCGTTGGCCAATTTGTGGAACATACGTATTCCGGCTGGGATGGAATCGTGGCGGTACCCGGTAGTCTTACTGAAGACGAGAACATTCAAGGGTGTAGTGCTAGCCATGTTGATGGTGCTATCCTGGCGTGTTTGTGGTAATCCACCTAAGATATCTGTTTATTCCGAAGAGTTGTACTCACGCAAGAGCAGGCGGTGGTTGCTGGCAAAGGTATATGTTACAAAGCAAGCGTACTGAATTAGGCTGATATGCTATTCAACCCGGTATATGACGTCATGTACACCAACACTCTTGTAGAAGCAGACGACAGTCGTGTTGCTCGCGTTGAGATGCTCAGCTATGTGGGGTTGGACGTCTTCAGTGATTAAGAGACTAAGATCTTGTTCAGGAGCCTGTCTGGAAGTATGAACTCTCTGTACATTGAAGACACCAAGGGTGCAAGGACACTTTGTTCGATCTTGAAATTACAGAGAGAACGGCAGTAAAGACAATCATAAGGAGAGACTGAAACAAAGAGCGAAGCGTTTGCATCTTATTCATCTCAATACTGGAATGCGTACAAGGCAAGCTATGGTGTCGAGAGCAGCTTGTCAACACCATAGTAAAGCAGGTAGTATATACCGCTGGTGCTGGAACTTCGCAATGGTCACAGTCAAGTGCCGTTGATTTCAACCGGAACCCTGCAAGCAAACACATAAAGACGGGTCAGCGCTTCTAGCTCAGCTTTCGAGTAGTGACGGACGATGATACTTCACGATGCAGCCAACAGGTGTTGTCATTACGCGAACTTGATGATGTATGAAGTGTCGACTTCGCGGATTGCGAGTAGCCATGTCAGCTGGGAGAGAGAGATGCGTTGCTCGTTCCAACCTTGGAAGGTTCACCCTTTTCTCGAAGACCAGGGCAGGCACACCTCGCTCAGTCCTGTCAACGGTAGATACCGCGGTGGGGTGGATCTCTTGCCACCTACTGTTAACAGGCCTTAATCCGTTCGTTTAGTGTGATCACAGAGTCCGCCTCCACACAAGTGTGGTGTTTTGGCGATCGCAACTAGGTAGGTCAAAGTGTCTCGGGCGAATTGCAGGGGCCGGCCCGCATGCCAAGTCTCCCCATCAACAGTAACTTCCTTTTCAGGACAGGCTTGCTTTAACAACAATACTTCCACACCAACCATCTACTATCTCGCATATCACACCCACGGCGGCAATATAAACGGAAGCTTGGTATAGCTTGGCAGAGGGCCCACGCGGGAGACTACCACTGCTGTACACCTTGGTCGATCGCATCTTTAGTCGCCTGTGTTGATCATGGCTAGATCATATCGCTGTCCGTCGGTGTCTTACTGGACGGCAAGCATGATAGGTATTGTGTAGCCCCCCATTCAGGATTATGACCCTAGTGAAGCCACAAGAAGATCATTCGGGAGTGACCGTAAGCATGAAAGTAGAGGCAAGGGGCTCGTTCCTCACCAGCTGCAGATTGCCTCAAAATCGTCTCCCAAACAGGTCTCAAGAGTATCTTCTCACTCGATCTCGATGCCATAAGGAATTCATAAACAGTGTCATGTGAAAGCAGCCACTAACGGCCGAATTCGCCAGAATACCTCCTAGGGCCGGAGACACCACTATACACTATCGATGGTAAGATAGCGTGCTACAACAGCTTCCCGTTTCGCGTTGGACACGAGGCCTTTAGGTATCCATAATTATACAGCAGATAAGCAGCGTTTTGGCGGATGACTTGCATGAAGAATACTAGGCTGTAGAGGGAAATTGTAACTTCAACGGTACCAATCACCGCTCCGCCCAGCCTTTTCCATTCTGCATGTGGAAGGACCATCGGCTTTCCCCTGTTCTAGTGGTCTTGGTATTTCCAGCTCACCTGAACTACAGGACGACAAGGTGGCGAGGCTGGTGTACACATCCAAACCAAATACACAGGCCTATAGAAGAACGGATTGAGTACAAATAGGAGGCGGTTCGCCTCTCGTTCTCAGGCCAGTCCTTACCAGAGACCAGCAGTCCTTCGCTTCCACCTCCAGTCCCGCCATCATCTCAGCCAGCTTCATTCAAGATGCAGATCAAAGACCTCCTCACCGTTCTCGCGATACCCGCCGTGGTTCTCTCAGCAGCTATCCCCCAGGATCCCACTGAGATTCCCGACTGGGAGAATGGTAGCCAGGAGGACATTGTTGGTGGATCAGCCGCAGCCGCTGGCGAATTCCCCTTCATTGTCTCCCTCCAGCGCAGCGGAAGCCACTTCTGTGGTGGAACACTTCTCAACGCCAACACTGTCCTCACTGCTGCTCACTGCGCGGTCGGACAGACAGCATCCAGCCTCACCATTCGCGCTGGCTCTTTGGTGAGAACCCATCTTTCGTTTATTTTCAGCATGCTTCAAAGTCCTCCTTCAGCATCGAAGTGAACATGTGCAACTTCTCGCAAACCCGTGAGGAAAACAAATATCAAAGCTAACAAGCTGTTTTCAGAGCCGTACCTCAGGTGGCGTTACCGCCCGCGTTTCTTCCATCAAGGTCAACCCCGGCTACACCGCATCTACCTACAACGGTGACCTTGCTATCATGAAGCTCGCCACCTCCATCCCAACGAGCTCCACCATCTCGTACGCTGTGCTTCCCGCATCGGGATCTGACCCTGCCGCCGGAACTACCCTTACCGTCGCTGGCTGGTAAGTTTGACTGTCCCCTTCCGGTGTATACAAGATCCACCCATCTTCGAAGATAGTCTTCTGCACCAAGTATGTCTGTCCGCCAATGCATGGCTAACTTTCAATTCAGGGGTACTACTTCGTCAGGCGGTCAATCGCTCCCCACCAACCTCCTCAAGGTTGACGTACCTGTTGTCTCTCGCAGCTCTTGCCAGGCTTCTTACGGCACATCGGCCGTCACCACTCAGATGTTCTGCGCTGGTCTGACCCAGGGTGGTAAGGATTCTTGCCAGGGTGACTCTGGCGGCCCTATCGTCAACAAGTCCACCAAGGTCCTTGTCGGTGCTGTTTCCTGGGGTGAGGGCTGCGCTGCCCCCAACGCACCTGGTGTCTACGCCAACATTGGTCAGGCTACGCTCCGTAGCTTCGTGGCTGCCAACTTGTAAGGTCTCGACACCTACCAAAGTTAGGGGTAGGAGGGAAGCTGGAATTAGTAGTGATGATTGGGACGAAGCATGAAGTGATGGTCAATGACGGACTTGGATACTTTTCACAAAATGGACATCGTTCACTACACGCTTTTTTCCCTCTTGATTCAACACTCAAGGATCAGCAACAACATATAAGTCTATCTTTGCCCGTCTTCTTCTTAGAGTGGTAAGCGATGCAAGAAAACCCACCAGATTTCCCGCAAAATATGCTCACAATGCGTCCGGCGCAGTCAAGCCAAGGAGATGCAGGCCGGGTTCTTTGGAATGTACGCCGATAAACATTGTGTAAGCAGATGCAAGTAATTCTAGTCTCTGCTCGCTGTAGAAAACATAGATATAGGTCTGCTACTGTACTACATTGACTCAAATATCTTTGCGTAAAAACACTATTAAAAGCTTGTTTACAGACGTCAGGGTAGAAATCAGCCTGGAGGAGGTAAAATACATTGAACTGTGCTGTATTACCCACGGGCTGTCTTCACAACTTGAACTGTGTCTAAGTCTCTTGGCTACTCGATTCCTGTATCCATGTCGATGTGTGAAATACACACTTTCGGTCGTTTTACTCGGAGGGAGAGAAAGGCGGGGAAATGCCTAGCCAACAACACTGAGAAGGGTCCGAGGTCGGGCCAACTGATCTAACGCTTCTTGGAACGACAGGCGTCATCACCTCTCTCCTAATCTACTTTATGCGCCTTTATCCTCGATAGCTACATCGTAAGGTCCCAAATTTGTGACACCATGGCTTCGCGACTCCTCGAACTCCCACGAGAGATCCGAGATCTTATCTATGATTATGTCCTTGTACGCGATGTTATTCCGGTCCAATGTGCAGCCGTCCTATCGGAAGTCGCAGCTAGCCGCAGCCCTGGGATTTGTAGACAGCTCGACAAGAACTACCCGTTGAGACGCATACGCGCTACGCGCCGCATTTGGTACATACCTCGCTTCGATATTGGTCTGACCTCCGCGGCGAACGATTCAGGGGAGCTGAGGAACATCCAGATGACGTACCAACTGGGAATGCCATCAGATATGCTGTCCAGCCGCAGGATAGAAATTCGGCTGTTGCAAACATGCCGACAAATTTACCACGAAGCTAGGAAGTCCTTCTACGGAAAAAATCTGTTTAGCTTTACAGCAGACTTTAGCGTCCCGACTGCGTTCGCGTTCCTGTGCGACAGGCCTGCCACATCCCTGAAGCTTATCTCGTCAATCAAGCTTGTTTTAGTGGAGGCGAGCAACTTGAGGGGCACTATAGGAGCTCATTATCCTGTGCTTCGCAGGTCAACAGACTCGCTGGTGTTGCAATTCGCTTACAACCACTTCACGGATCTTTGTACTCTGCTATCCACTTCGCGCATGGATTTGCGGCGGCTACATCTTAGCATCAGCAGTTTACATCAACGATATGACGTAGCTCCTTCTTTGGTCAAAGAATGTTTGTCTTGGGAAGCAGAAAAGACCGATGGACCGCGACCATGGATCGCTTCCTGGATTGACCCTTTGACGAAGGTGGAAAGTCTTGAACACCTCAACATACATTGGGTTTTTGATCGACCACGGCTTTGTAGAGTGGCAGACACGATCTCTCATATGCGGTGCCAAATGCTTGCAGACACTCGAAGCACGCTAGCTGATCGGCCAGGCGCATCGGATGCATCCAGACTTGATTACCAACTGCACTATCGAGTCGCCATACAAGATGGCATCTCCATTAGTTATGAGGTATCTAAGAAGGACTTGGACAGTCACAGGTCGGCTGGTGATGATATTCAATCCAGTGGAGAAGAGTTGATGACTGCGTGGCGGCGACAAGTGCGAGAAATATTCGAGGCTTCCAGATGTTTATAGCCTTATCGTTGTATATCAACCAGTCACGAACGAGGAGGGTGGATTGTACCGCCGCAGCCCAAATTGAAGGAAAGCCGTTGAATTTAGTTGCTGTCAACAACAGAAGCGCCCACAGGTAGTGTGTACGCCTGTATTGACAGTGAACAGCGTGCGATCTATCTTGCGGCTGGAAGATCTGCGTCCGATCGGAGTAAGGCGATCTGGGGTTCCGAAAAGAAACAAGGTGCAGCTTTTGCTCTTTGTGCAAGGGATTCCCTAAGCCGCCTGCAATCAGGTTAGCGGTCCCACATGGTTCAACGCTGTTGGCTAGTCTCCCTGTTCCAGAGATGCCATCCCTGCAAGCTGAGGATTCGTAGGCGGCGCTTCAACATGTATAGGAAGCACGGCATCACAGAGGGATTGCTTACTGTGTCGACCACGCCGCAAGACAATGGTCACCCATAAAGTCATAGGTTCCGCGGTTTCACATTACTGCAGAGTTGCTATCAGTCAATCAGTCAGTTGTCAGTTCATCTTTGCGGTTCAAACTGTCAGTCTGGAGGTAGTGAACTGACCTGATTGACTGCCAAGACATTTTTTAGAATCGCGAACTGAGACTGA